AAGTCGTGGCTTGTCAGGGTCCCTGGCAGCCAAGGCCCCTGCCCGCCTCGGAAAGAAACGCGTGTAGTTCTCACAACATGGAGGCTCAGGCTCCATTCACAAGCTCCTTCCTTTTGGATCCAGTTGAACCCCTGAACGTACTGTCTGCCCCTTCCCCCGCTACTCATCCTTAAGAGCTAGCTTTGCCCACTGAGAGTAAGACTCCCTGCCAGAAACAGGCAGGTCCCCTTTAAGAGCAGAAGAATTGGCTTTTCTAGGTGGGGCTGATCACGGAGGCCTAAACTGCCTGGTGTAGAACACTACAGCCAAGGTCTCTGGCACCAGATGGAACAGCTGCTCAGCTCATACTGACCTTTCTCTGGGCCTGTGGGCCTTCTGAGCTCTTCAGCTTTAACTTTTCTGACAGTTTCTATCGTGTTTCTACCTGTCAGATTCTCTGGCCACTTTCCTGCAGTGCTTGGACTTTGGGCAGCGAGTCTTTGCCACCTTTTAAACTCCTTCTGGGTGTGGGGAGTCTGATTGGCTTGGGTTTCTTGGCCTTTGGAGTTCTCCGTTCCCTGCCTTGGCCTGGAACCGTTTTGCTTTTGCACCACCGTGCCCCCAGGCCTAACTCACAGAATCCACTCCCAGATCCGCTGAGTTCTTACACATGGTGGGAGCACAGGGTCTAGGAAAGAGGAAGGACACCTGTGTGCAAAATAGCTCTTTCATGAGGACTCTAGGCCTGTTGGATTCCTTTGCACTCTGAAGCCCATGGCACTGATTCTGTCACACAACGAACCCCCCTTTCCATAAGCTGAGGTCACTGTTAGCTTAGCCACTTTTAGAAAATTAAGTTATTCATTTTTGCACACATACCCTTGAGTCCTATGTAAAGGCAGGCTTTTTTTTTTTTCTGTACTAAATTGATAGACGTGGTGTGCCCTAGACAGAAGCATTGAGGAATAAAAACAGCTAATGCTAATAACGAATGCACATCTTCACTGTGCAAGACCTAGCATTTTCTCTACATTACCATCTGCAAACTGCATAACGTAGGTACTATTCTCTCAATTTTACAGATGAACCAGAAGCTTAGTGAGGTTAACTGTCTTAAAGTGACCCAAATAGTAAATGAGGGAGTCAGGATTTGAATCCTGAAGTCTCATGCCGAAAAAGAGGTTATATCGAAAGATCTTGGATGCCCATATAAGCTCTATATCCATGGAGAAGATGGAGTAAGTAAAAAGACCTTGGGCAAAGTCCCGAAGTCCCCCAGGTTCTAATTTTTTACCTTGCCGAGAGAGAGTGATGGCTCCACGTTGCCACACCCTGGGAGGGGGAGACCCTAGGGAGTGAGAGATTCATCCAAGAAGGGAAATTATCGAGTCTGCCAAAGTCCTTAAGAAAAGGAAGCTGAGAACCAGGACGGTTTTTTAAAATTTCGCTGCCGGGTGTCACACAGGCTGACTTCCCGAGTGCAACTTTTGAGGGTTTTATAGGTTCCATAAAAGAGCATGTCAGCCCACCAGCCACTAGAGGGCACAGCAGAGCTGCAATCCTGGGCTGCCCTCTAGCGGCGGTGCTGACGAAAGGGCGTCGTTGAACCTACGGGGCCTTCAAAGACCCCATAGAAAGGCGGTTGGAAGAGACATCTCCAGCTCTTAGGTTCAACAAGCAATGAGAAGAATGGATTGGCAAATAGTATCAGATTGAAGAGATCTTATTGCTAGGATGGACATCTTTGCTGGAAGGCTGTAAATCGTCGGCCCCCCCACTACTCACTTAAAATCTGGGAGTAGAGTGTGCAGTTTTGTTACCGTTTTCGGACAGGGCAGTGAATATAGTTAGTTATTAGTAGAAACCTGAAAGAAATCTGATGAAGTTACTCAGAATCGTGGGTGAGGACTCAAGCCAAACCCAGACACCTTGAGTGAAGGCAGCAGTGTGGCCATGGTGTTTCTGAAATTTGTTTGCCCCCCTCTTGTTATGAAACTGTATTAAGGCCCCTCCGGGACCCAAAATCACTGTGGTTCATTTCCTCAGACCTTCAGTTTGACTCACTGAGAAGTAATGAAAAACATTCTAGTAATCATGAATTTTCAATAGAGCATACTAGATTTTGAGCTTCTGTTTCTCAACCCTGAAGATTATAAGTCTGTTCTCCCTGTGAAAGTGTACTCCTGTGGAAAATTTTGAGAAACACTGGGGTAGTGGGAAAGAAAGACTCCAATCTGGGAGTCAGAAAACCTAAAAATTCAAACCCTCTATTTCCATCTTGGTAAAAATGAAAATCATGACCTACCTCACAGGTTGTGAGAAACATGTTAAGGTGATACCTAAACCAGGGTACTGCTATGCACAGAGAAAGATAATCTATAAGGTGGACTGTGAGCACCTCAAAGCCTCATGTTCTATTTATCCTCGTAATCCTGGGACAATTCCTTACTCCTGGGTGTTAAGTAAATATTTGTTGAATTCAGTAGTTACCTAACCTTAATTTTCTTAGCCCGGTACATCATACCATCTTGCTCTCTTCTGTCTAAATTTTGTGTCATTTATGAAACTAAATTTCTTATATGATAAATGTACATACATTTATTATACCCAATACATAAGAGCATCAGACACTGAAAATATAAATAAATAGATAGATAGGTAAGACCTGGTCCCAACTTGAAATAATTCTCATTCTGAGGAGCAGAGAGACCTATTACTATATATTAGTTACATAAGATTTTGAATATAGTGGAGGAAGGGATTGGTCCTACTCAGGGCAAAAAGAGCTTTTGGAGAAGACCTCTTGGCTAACATTTGAATGGGGTCTCATCGGGTGAATGTAAGTTCAACAGGCAGAGCAATAAGGGAAGATGTTTTCAGACCAAGGAGCAGAGCAAACACTGGTGTGAAGCCATGAAAACACACATGGGATGAGCGCATAATGCAGTGTTAGCTTTGGGCTCGGATCCTTAATAGTGTGTGTAGGGGAGGAAAAGGGGGGGGACGGAGACACAGTCCGTTTTACAAAATGTTATTCTGTGTTATTAGTTACAGCTGTTCTGACAAAAAATGAGGCCCAAATAGGCTTCATCATTGGTTAATACTGAATAAATGCTTAAAGTGTACATTTAATTTCCACAAATTACGGTGATTTACAGATGTGGAAAAGATAAGGTTCTACCCTCTTTTCCTTCTCTCCTTGAAAACTAAGTCTTCCCTCATCCTCTTTTCCTTTGCCATTACTTTTCTGCCTTCTTTAGTTGCAAACTTTTCCCTCTAGAGCTGAAAGTAGAATATGTAATCATCTACATGTTATTTAAGGGAACAGGAATGGAAGGCTTTCCACCTCCAAAAAAAATCTTTCTCCATATCAGAAAGTGGTGTAACCACTTTCTTTGGGCTAAACTGTTGTCTTTCAAAATGCCTGGAGTCCTAGGGGAGCTGATCTATTAAGTTCCAATGCTGTAATGTAATTGAGTTTTCAGTCTTTTACTAGCTTTAGAGCAAGGGAGGTGAGGGCAATGGGGAGACAGACAACAAAGAGGAAGCAAGATTACAAAAGAGAGGTTGGAAAGTTCAAAGCCAAGTGCATATTGGCAAATTTGGTTAAACTTTCTCCATACTGTGCTTACTAACGTTAGTGTGATGTGAAAATGTGAGTTCTCCTGTCAGAGTACAAATATTCTATTATGTCATTAAAACAATGGTTTGTTAAGGCAAAGTAGCCTAACTATTCATGGCCTTACCTGGTGGCTCAGAGGGTAAAGAATCTGCCTGCAACTCTGGAGACTGGGTTCGATCCCTGGGTTGGGAAGTTCTCCTGGAGAAGGGAATGGCAACCCACTCCAATATTCTTGCTTGGAAAATCTCATAGAGGATCCTGGTGGGTACAGTCCATGGGTGGCTATTTAAATAATAGGCAAGGCAACAGGGTGTTAACAACCTAGTTATGTTACCCTATCTATATAAGTCATTCTGCAGGTCCCTTTACTTATCTCTAAGGATTATTGAGATAAAGTTCTCCTAATGTACTTGGCTCTTCAAGTGAAAGGTATTATGAAAATGCATACCAGGTACTGCTTTGATTTCATTTAGAAATTCTCCATTGTTGTTACCATAGACATGTTTATGTTGTGACCTGAATTCTCTTGATGTGAAAGAAGGTTCAAGTTAGTATCATCTGTCTGAATTTTAAAAGAAATGTTTACTTTTACTTGGGGCCAGAAAGGTCCCAAGTAGAAATGTGATATCTTGGAAATTGAGGCCAGCAGCAGCTGTGAACAGAAGCCGGTAAAGTAAAAGCATATTTACCTAACCCTAAAAGTGACGGTGAAAAGACGCTGGAGGCAGTCCTTCAACGAGGAGGTCAGCCCTGGTGCAGTTTGAACTGGTGGAGCCTAGTCAGTAATCCACAGACTCATCATTCTGCGGTTCAAGACACACTTATGTTCTCCTCATATACTAATTATTACACTGAGAAAGATTTTAAAATAATTGGTAAATACAATATTGTTCTAATCTTCAGGAAGTTCATAATATAATTGGAACACATGTCAGCCCACACATATTTTTAAACACCAAGTGAAAATACAGGGGACAAACAAAAAAACAAGTGTGTGACAGGCTAATTTATTGAGCTGTTAATTTGGTTTATGTTCTTATATTTTCCCTCCCCTCCATTCCAAACAGGCTTCTAGGGAGTTTGTGTTTCTAGGCAGAAAGAAGTTGACAGGAATTCTCTCTTAGACAACTCCAGGAGGCACCGCTCACATTGTCATTGAAGCCGCCTGGACACAGCTCCTTAGAATGCACCGTCAGTGGTATCCCTGAAGTTGTGCCCAGTGATTTGCCCTCCAGGTTTCTTGCTCCCAAAGGGATTTTGCCAGGGGATTCAAGGGGGGTAGGGACATCTGGGGAGAGAGGGAAAGGAGGAAAGAGAGAGAGGGAGGGAGGGGTTGTGCGTAGGTGGAATTGTTGCAAAAGAAAACATTTCTCAAACTGGAAAAGAGTCAAAGTCAGGGTTTCAGTAGTGAGGATACCAGCCTTGTTTCCTTGAAGGACCCCAAGAGCTAGCCAAACATCAGATAGATGCATGGTGACCCTAAGAAGACTGGATACCCCCGCCACTGCTACTCAGTCCATGAGCAGAGCTGTTGTCTGGCTTGTGGGGACCATACATCCCTGAACAGTGAAAATGTCAAAGTCCATCTTCCCCCATTTTCTGGCTCAACATAAATCTTCCAGACTCTGGTGAATTCCTAGAGAGAAAGGGAGGGAAGCCTGGTAATAACTGGGATTGGATTTCCTTCTACTTAAACAGAATTAAGGCTGGAATCACTGAAGTCTGAGGTGAATTTAATTTGATTTAAACACAATAAAGAAGCATAACATTTCTTGCACAATCAAATTTGTTCTTACAGATTTATGCCTAACTAGCAGTGAATACAACATACAAAACAGTGTTGAGAGAGTAAGGTCAAGAATCACAGTGAATGGCACAACTAACATCTGCTGAGGGAATTAAGAGAAAGAAAAGAGCAAATGGAGCTAAAGTAAAAGGAGGTGACTTTATGGAGGGCTTCTGACAGAGCTAGAGTGTAAGGAAAGGAAAGGAGTTTATGAACGTGGGAGACAGAGTGGCTGCAAGTCAGAAGGAAAAGCAATGTGAACAGAGCAGGAAAAGGAGAATCACTATGAAGAGATAAACAGGAGACTGGCCTAATTGGAGTGAATGTGTGTGTGTGTGTGTGTGTGTGTGTGTGTGTGTGTGTATGCATGCTCGTATGTCCAACTGCCTGCCAGGCTCCTCTGTCCATGGAATTCTCCAGACAAGAATACTGGAGTGGGTTGCCATTTCCTCCTCCAGAGTATCTTCCTTACCCAGGGATCAAACCTGCGTCTCCTACATTGACAGGCAGGTTCTTTACCACTGAACCATCAGGGAAGCCTCAGTTGGAGTGAAGAGCTGATGATAAAAGTTGTCCTGAGTATCAAATTTCCAAATGTCTTCTTCTGTCCTCACTGAATGAGGCAGAGTTGTATCAGAGAACAACCAGTAGATTATATTATAAATTTCTTATAATGTTGGTTATCATCATATACTTATCATAATATGTATTGTAATTATTTTATTATGTAATACAAAGGAATTGACTGGCATGATTGTGGGAGCTAACAGGTTCAGACTCTGTAAGGCAGGCTAGCAGGCTAACAGGCCAGAAACTCTTGGGCAGGAATAGGCACTACAGTTTCACAGGTGGGATTTCTTCTTCCTTAGGAAAAATCTTAGTTTTGCTCTTAAGGCCTTTCACTTGATTAGATGGAGCTCACCCAGAATATCAAGGATAACCTCCTTTACTTAAAGTCAAATGATTGTAGATGTTAACCACATCTAACAGAATTCCTTCACAGCAACACCGAGGTTAGCTTTTTAATTGAATAACTGGAACATTCGCATAGTCAAGTTGACACTTAAAACTAACAGTCACATTCACTACACTCTTTATGTCATCCCTCATGTATCTGAGAAGAGAGAAGTCTTTGAACCTCAGGAAAGATCATTTCCTATAAAGTAGGCCAACCTATGTTCTTTCCTTGGGTATATTTATTTTCTATGCTTTTTTTCTTGTTTTTGTATATAAATATATGTATTACCAGGAATTTTTTATTTTTCTTTATCCTCCTCCCCTTCCATTATCTTATGTTGTGCTAAGGAAGACTTGTGGTTTGATGTTAGTATGTTTTTTTTTTAATCTTTTTGTTTTTCCTATTTATAGTGCCTCTAGTGTTATCTGTTAGCATCATTCTCCTGAATTGACCAAAGCCTCAGGTTTCTGCCTTCTGTAACCCTTTAAGCAGCTCAGTCAGCATAAGCCTCCATCCTTGTGACTTGTAACTCTGGGTCCCTGGTTGGAACAGGGCTAAGCATCCAACATAAGGGCAGCCAGTCCCCTGATTGGACAGTGACCTGTGAGCTGGCTAAATAAAAGATCTTTGCCCTAGGAAGAGGTTAGTAATTAATTAACAAATTGATTCCTTTCTTGGAGAATATAAGTATGACTAAGGGAGAAGGTTAGGCAGTTGGTGGTTAAAAAAAGTACACAAAAAGGCAAGAGAGGCAAACCTCAGGATCGTTAGACAATAGCAACCAGGAGAGGCAATAAGTAAGAAGCAACTGTGAGTAGGTAAGTCAAAAAGGCTTTCCGAAGAAAAGATAACTGCTTAGTCATGGTAAGAACAACAGGCCCAGGGGTGGATAGAAATGAGGAGATTTTTATTTTTGGCCATACCGTACAGCATGTGGGATCTTAGTTCCCCGACCAGAGATCAAACCCTCACACCTTGCATTAGAAATGTGGAGTCTTAACCACTGGACCACCAGGAAAGTCCGGAAACTAAGGAGATTTTTTGATGGAGCTCCAGAATAAGGGCACACATGAGAAAGAGCAGGTTATTAGCCAGGCCTTGGGGAAATTCAGAATAACTGCCTAGAAACCCAGGAGCAGACTTATAAGTGACCTCATAGTAACTTGAAGAGAGCTAGGAAACTATAAAGTTTATTCAGGTTCCAATGCAGTTCTAGCAAATGATTTATCTCCTCAGATCCCCAAGAGAAGCTTTCCATTGCTGTCTTATTTTGGTGTGAATCTCTCTTTTCCAAAAGAGTCTTACACATGCAGTTTTAGTCCTAACCATCTCCAGGGCTCAATCTTGTGTCAAGAATTACATCCTCTTGGAAGTCTTAGCTTATCCATCCTTCATCTTACCCGCACGCAGGTTGAGTTAACTGTCCCTTTTTGTGTTCCTTTATGACCTTCCGCAGCCTTACATCACAGATTCTACCTCATTATGTGGTAATTGTAGATTTACTTGTCAATTGTTTGTACCTACCCTTCCCATCTCTGGCTCCCAGCATATATAGTCAAGATGTGTGTTTTTATTCTCTGTATCTCCTACATATAGAATAGACCCTATCATAAAATAGCCAAATAATAAACATTTTTTGAATTTTGAATTAGGGAGAGCTCCTTTTGTTTAGGCCAAAGGGGGGAAAAAAAAGGCAGAATGTCAGAAAAAGCAGAATGGGCTAAGAAAACTCAAAAGCTTATCCGTAATAAGAGTGCAGGTACTAAGAATTTAGTTAATTCATACTTAAAATTCATGTCTCCATGACTCTACACAAAAATTTCCGAAGCAGCCAAATTTTGTCTGTTCAGCTAGACATCTGGTGCTATGATTCTCCAGTTTTAAAGGTACCTTGGCCAGCCCTGTTCCTTTTAAGGGAGAGTCAGCTACATTCTCCCTTTATCCTCTAGTTTCTTATCTGAATTCAGATCCATGTGCTTGGGTGGGCCAGGCTCGAGGCTGATTCTCAGGGTGATCCCTTGAGCTTCCAGGCTGAGAAGCCAGGACTCAGATCCCAGCCCTACCCCTTGCTACTTTTGTACCCCCAGATAAGTCCCTCACAACCCTCTGAGCCTCAGCTTCAGATGGTAGAAATGGGGAAATAAGGACTCCTTTATTAAGGGCTATAACTATAAAGACTATATAAGGACTCCTCATAGTTATGCTGAAGGTTTTCTGAAAAATAATTGTGAAAATATGTAGCACAATGTTTTATACTTAGCAAGAGCCACATAAATGTGAATTTCTGTGTATTTTATTTCTGAGGAGGTGGAGAAGGGAAGGGAAGCCATAAGATGATGGTAGAGGACAGGGCCTTAACGATAGCAGGAGTCCTGAAAATCAAAAGGGGTAGCAGCCTAGGGGGGAGAAGGCAATGGCATCCCACTCCTGTGTTCTTGCCTGGAGAATCCCAGGGGTGGGGGAACCTGGTGGGCTGACATCTATGGGGTCACACAGAGTCGGACACGACTGAAGTGACTTAGCAGCAGCAGCCTAGGGACCTTGTGCCACCACTTGAAAAATCTAATAAAGCACAGGTCTTACTCATCCAAAGCCACAGTGTACCTGTGGCAGTTGCCGCAGGAGATTCCTTGATCAGAACTTGGAAGGACACTCAGTCCCTGCCAGGTTGAAATTGGTGCACAACTGATAGTGAGATAGATACCATTGATGGCAAGGAAAAAAGTTTTTGCCTACTCCAAGCAGAGAAAATTTATAGATTCACCTAGTACTGTCTCAGAGAGCTCTGAGAGTGTGCAGTGGTGTCTGACAGTAACCCCTGCAAATGAACCCAGGGCTGGAAATGGAGAAAGAGAGGAAGGTATTAGTAATCAATTGAGAAATAACAAGAGTATTAATAGGATTTTCAAACACATCTGCTCCTTCTGAGGTCCTGAAAGAAAGCCCAATGAGACCAGCTAGTTTACTGAAGGACTTAAGAGCCCAGATAAAGTGTGTGAGTGACTGGGGGAGGGTGTATCAGGGTTTATGCTTTCCAGTGTTTCTAGGAAGAGACCCTTAAATCAGGACTAAAAACTGTTAGAGTTAGCTCATGATGTACTCTGAAATCGACTGCTTGGCAGGCAGGGATCAAGATGTGGCAGGATAAGGGTAGAATTCCACAGCAGGATGAGCTTGTTAGTCAAATGTCACAGATGTCAAATCGCTGCCTAATGTGTCATTTGTTATCAGGTAGAAGACGTGGCTAAGTGATTACAGCTTTGCAGGAACCATTGTCTCCTACCCCCGTGAAGGAACACTTTTTAGTTGAATGGACCACCCAATTTATTTTTAAAGGCATGAGACTGGAGACTAAGTACCCCTTTTCATTACAGTTGGTGAACATCCTTTTCTCATTTTGAATCCCCTCAGATGCTGTTGGAGTAGGGCCTCCTTGCTCTTTCTGTGTCACAAATAAAATACTCTTTCTGAGTATATTTTTAAAGGTTTTGAAATTTTAAAAATGGTAATATCATGTCACCACCCACAAAGCAATTATATTTAATGGTGTTTTAGAAGAGTTAGTTTTAAAATCCTGTACCTGAACATTAAATCAAGACATCAGACTGAAGGAAATTTACCTCTACAAAATCTTATGAAATGACAGAAATGACTGAGAGAGAGGGGAGAGGGGAAGACGGGTGTGGAATAACTGGTAACAGGTTCTGGGACAAAAAAAAGTGTTATCAATGTATGAGAAAATCTTAGGAGATGGTATCAGGCCTTGGCGGGCTTCCCGATGGCTTAGCGGGTAAAGAATCTGCCTACAATGTAGGAGACTGGGTTCGATCCCTGGGTCGGGAAGATCCCCTGGAGGAGGAAATGGCAACCCTCTCTAATATTCTTGCCTGGGAAATTCCACAAACAGAGGGGCCTAGTGGAGTACAGTCCATGGGATCACAAAAGAGTTGGGTACGACTTAGCAACTAACCAACAATAACATCAGGCCTTGGAGAAATAAACTAGAGCACCTGAGCCTCAAACACTTCTAAGCTTAAAACTACTACAGGAATAGAAGCAATTTCAGGGATGCTCCTATTTCAAAGAGAGCAGATTCAGTGAGTGGAGGGTGCTGGGGTAATGATTAGAGCAGTGAATGGAGACACTGCATTTGTGGCAGCTGGACTGCTGATCTCCTTCCCTTTTCCTGCTTAGAACTGTCCACAGATTAAAGCAGTGAGTCCATGAGTCCTGGGAGCTAAAGACAGAACAATAGCAATGAACTGCAGAAGGGGTGGGAAGACCCCTCACTCTGAAATCACTCTATCCAGCAGAATGTCCTTCTCTTCTCCTATAATCACCAGAGTCAACTCACATTAAGTGAAAGTAGAGCTCTAACAAGAATTTTCATTTATGAAGTACAAGAATAATCAATGCAAGATATAATAATACAAGTTTGTACATGTATCAAACTCACTAAATACTGAAAAAATACCTGTGGAAAGATAAATGAAAAGATACATAGACATTTGTTTTATAAATTTCATCTTATAACTTTCAGAAAAATATAATTGTAAGTAAAATACATACTTATAAGTATTATAACAATTATCTTCAAAGAGATTAGGATGTTATTGCATTAGTGGAAAGGAAACAAATAGTGATCTTAGAGATTAAGAATAAGATTTTCAAAATAAGAAAACTCAGCAGATGTGTATCACCAAAAGAAATTTCTTGAAAGAATAACTGGCTATTGGATGAAGTTTAATAAAACAAGTAGTGAATCCAACTGCACAACTGCACTCATCTCACACGCTAGTAAAGTGATGCTTAAAGTTCTCCAAGCCAGGCTTCAGCAATATGTGAACTGTGAACTTTCAGATGTTTGAGCTGGTTTTAGAAAAGGTAGAGGAACAAGGTCATGTCAATGTATGTCAAAAAGCACTACAATAAAAAAAAAAAAGAAAGAAAAGGTAGAGGAATAAGAGTTCAAATTGCCAACATCCGCTGGATCATTGAAAAAGCAAGAGAGTTCCAGAAAAACATCTATTTCTGCTTTGTTGACTATGCCAAAGCCTTTAACAAAAAAAAAAAAAGAATTTAATGTAAAGAGGATTTGACAAGATAAAGATCATTTATGTTGACAAAAGATACAATTCCATAAGAAGGCCAATTAATAATGAACCTTTACAAACCTAACAATATAACACCAAAAGTCATGTTTATAACGTAATATATGAAGTAAAGGCTGATAGAAATACAGATAGGAATGAAAAATACACAACTGTTTTGAAAGACTTCAACTCAAAAACTGACAGATGAGGTAGGAAAAAAGTAAGCAAGAGTAGTGAGGATTTGAATAACACAATAAAGAAACTTGACTGAATAGGTGTAAAGGACTTTGTACGCTGTAATAGTGCATGCATAATCTCTTCAAACACACATGCAACATTAGCTACCTTCTAAAACACAAGGAAAATGTTAATAAATTCCTAGATAAGAAATCATTCAGTTCACATTCTTTGATCACACTGCAATAAAATTTGAAATTAGTAAACAAAAGAATACAATTTTTATGACTTGGAAATAAAAACCCACATCTTTAACTTAGAATAACTATAGTGAAAAGAAATGTAAAATGAAGTTATTGATTAGTTAAAAATAATGATACCAAAATTTATTCAACATTAATATAGAACCAGTTTTGTGCTGAGTGATCTACTTGGATTGTCTCATTTTATTATCGCAATAATCCTGAGAAGTTGATTCCATTATCATCTCTTTTCACAGATGAGGAACTGAAACACGGAACTCTGTTAAATAACCTGCCCAAGGGCACATAGATGATAGAGTTGAGGTTTGAACCTAGATAATACAGTCTGGAGCCAGTGTATTTAACCACTACAACAAGAAGAACGATGAGATCAATACAATTCAAAATCTATACATACTCAGAGAAAATATATAGCCTTGGATGCATACATTGGAAAATAAGAAAAGAGTGAACAGAAGCAAATCATACATATAGCTCAAGAAGCTAAAGGGAGAAAAATGTAAACATTTATTACTAAAGAAAAAAACAGAAATGAATGAAATGAGTAAATTTTAATAAAACTGAAAAGAACCAAAAATATAAAAAGGCTAGTATGTCTAATCAAGGTTTAAAAAAAAAAGAATTATCAACATTTGAAATGAGAAGGGACATTAAAAGTATCGAATAGATTCTTAAAAAGTCTGAGATAAATTCTAAATTTAAGATAATAAATCAGAAAAATCTAGGCTAAAAAAGTTTCTGGAAAACAGAAATCACCAAAATTGACCCATGAAGAAATGTTCACCTTAAAACAACAAGCAACAATACAAACATTGAGAGCACTGAAAAGGTATGCAAAGCTCTCTCATAAAAGGACACCAAACAAAGAAGGTTCTATAAGTAAGGAACATGCTATACTGATTTTAGCAATCCAGAGCCT